CACCGTCACTCCAAGGTAATGCACAATTTTAAAATCATGATTTTTCCAGTGTCCTTTCTACCTGTCTTTATTTCTGCTCTCCTATCTTACCCCCACCGCCACCCTTGATCCTTTCTTATTAAGGGATGCATCTTCTGTATTATCCTCATCTGGCTAAATTGTATTCATCCCCAAAACCTATCCAGAATGCTATCTCAACCTTGGTTTACTTCTTTTTATTCCACCTTTTACAAAGCAACACTCTGACTCCATCCTGACTTATCCATCCATCCATCCATCCATTCATCCATCCATCCATCCATCCATCCATCCATCCATCCATCCATCCATCCATCCCATTCATTTCCTGCTTTATTTGAACTATTCTATAGGACCATATCTTTTATTCACCACAGTAGCAAGTTTATATGACAAAATACAATGTTAATAAACAAAAATACGGCATTTATTGCTTTTGTCTTTCACATTATGTAGCCTGTTGAAAACCATTTTAGTGTTAAGCATGTAGAAATCAAACTGTAATCACTGAATGGAAAGAAGGAAGGAAGAAGGGGAAGAGCCTTTCCATTGGACACGTAGACTAGGGTCGGTGTGCAGAGAGCCCGAGGAGATGGTGGCAAAAACACAAAAGAGGACAACAGCCATTTGGTGTACTTGAAAGCTCTGTTGCGTGAACCCAGAAAGTCTACTTTTTGTCATTCCATTGTACAGCTGGTTCATATATCCCAAGTCTGAATTTATGTGATACTTTCTAAAGTAGCTCTAAAAATACACTTGGAGCAACCTTTGAAGGAACATTTCTATAATCACTTTTCTATCTATTATATTTCCAGATAACAAGGTTTGTGAGAAACTTGGCTTCCTAAGTTAAAATGTCAAAACAAATAAAAACACTTTGTCAAATCTTTATTTTTTTTTCTTTTATTATTTCATTTTTTTTCTTTTTGGTTATTTTACCTTCTTGAGCCACTTTTATGTTTCCTTACAATTTTAAGGAAGGACAGCACTTATTTTTTGCAGTTACCTCATGCCATTTTCATACACTATGTTGAGATTCATTACATGAAGTAATGGGTGAGGTACATATTGGTTAACAGAACACAGGATAGATTGGTTGCTTGGCAGAATCTCAAAGGCCTAGCTGGGTTGGGGGTGGAGGAGGCATTGCTGGAAAGCATGAGGAGTTGCAAAACAACCAGAGACTGAGCCAATAAAAACAGATCAATTTAGATTCAGAATCAGACCTGCACAACCAACGGCCAAAAACAAAGTGTACTTGCTACTCTTATTTCAGACTTTTATGTGGGAATTTACTGTAGAATAATCTTAGATTTTAATACTTAAAATAGTTTGTATTTATATGCAGGCCAAAGGGTAGTATATTTGTTGCCTGGATAAACTTATGTTTACCACAAGCAAGGCTTGCCTCAGCCTGTCTCTTACTCTCAGAACATGCCTGTTGGAAAGTTCTGTATCCCCAACCTGTCATTGTACCGCTTCATCCATTGGTTGGTTCTACACCTCATCTTCCAGGTTTTCTATTTTTTTTTTTTTTTTTTTTTTTTTTGGTACTAGGAATTGAACTCAGGACCTTGAGCTTGCCAGGCAACTGCTTATTCTATTGAGCGATCTCCCCGGCTCCTCATCTTCCAGAATTTACTAGTCCTATTCCCACCCCCTTCTTCATCCATTTCTATCCTCACCACTAAACTAACTGCAGGGAAGGTATGAGATCATCATAATTCACAGAAAATTATGAAGAGTAATCATAAATGTAAGTAGCTTAAAGTATTTATTGAGAGTATTTGTCATCCTATGCAAATATATTGGCTGAATTTATGGTGATATCAACAAGGGAGAAATATTTTAGGGCAAGAGAAGATATTGAAGGGAATTGGGATATTGCACCATATAGGTAATCCCACCCTACAAGTAAATACTCAGTACTACCTCTGAAAATTTGGGGTCTTAAGTAGCAGAGAGGAAAATTTTATTTATCACACCGAAATTAAATACAAAATTTAGGAGAACATGTATCCCACTTTTTAAGATAATATAATGAGCATTATCCTAACCAAATATGAATACGTATTTTGTAATGATATTGTTATTGATTTATATTTAGTTTCATAATATAACACTGATTTTTTTCATTTTACAGTAGCACAAATTTTAAATCATCTTGTACTTGAATATAATATTTAAGAAAAAGAGTTGTTCTTTTCTTGATTGAAATGGAATCCCTCAACATTTGATCTATCATGTCTTACCAGGCTTGAAAGAACAATTTTTTTGCCATCTAAAGTTCCAAGAGTAGAAAACAAGTATTGATCCTCAAAGTAAGTAGTTAATATTTACTAGGTCATATTTCAGTACACCTTTAATTTTTTCACTTTAATTATCCTTGAATTTTTGGGCTATTCACTCACTTCACACAGTATTTAGTAGTTAGAGCCTAAATCCGCAAAGTCTATTTGGCCATAAAGACCTAAAAATATAGTTTGATTGAGAAGCTGCTAAATTTTGTCCTGTAAATCTGACCCAGTTCTTGGTAGCCTAAACTCCCAGAGCCTAGATACTCTCCCCCCAAAAAAGCAACTAACGTTCCTGTACAGCTAGGAATCAGAATGTAGGCAGTGCAACACTCTCAAAAGATACCACACAGCCTTAATATGTTAAAATAGAAAAACAAAGCACTGGGCCTATCAATTTGCCTGTTGATTGTTGTAATTTTTTATTATTTTTTGAAGACTGTTCACCCTTAGCGGTGCAGTAAACATTTATGGAATTCTTACCTTTTATGTTCAGTTGAAGAAAGTAAATTGTAATAGTGTTTGAAACCATCTTTTTTTAGCTTCTCAATTTAGTATTCAGTGTTCAATGTGAGAAACAACAGAAGTAAATATTAAAGATATACTTACATTATCAGTGATCGAAGTTATTCTGCAGAGTAAATTTCTATTAAGTATCACAGACTGATGATATTGTTGTCATTTGAAACTAGTTTTGTTTTAGAGGCTCTCTGACTAACATGAAAGAGGAGCCCTCTATCCAGCACAAGTTCATGGACAGATTCTCTACTGACTTATGCTCTAAATCTGTTTTTATGAATGCTATGAAACTATATAACACTTTGTTTTTTATTTTATTTTTTCTGTGTGTAGGGCAGGGTCTACAGGGTGCTCAGGATCTCACTACATAGCTCAGACTTGGAGTGATTCTCTTGTTTATAGCCTCCCACATGCTGGGATTATGCTAATACTTTAAATACTAAAATTATATTTTATCTGTTAGGAAAAGAGCTTGATATACAGTCTTATTCCCTGTAATATGTATAGCACTGTTGCTCAGTTTACCAGCAGAAACTTATATTCCTTTTAAATGCACACAAATAAAAATTAAAACATGCGAAACAAGACAGCTGGAATCAAATATGAAAAAAAGGAGTTGAAATCACTATTATTTAATTATCAAATATACTGTATACAATTCTGTTTAATAATATTTCAGATTCTACTTTGTAATCACTAAACTGCTTGATTTAAATTGGCATCCATTTCTGATTTTGAAATTTTAGTTATGAAATAATACTTCTTATAGGATAAACAATATGTGCATGAAACTGTAAGAAAGTATATCAATAATAAAACAAAATAATTCTGTTAAAGAAAATATTAAGCTTTTTTATTTAAGAAAAAATATTTACTATGATTGGTAATGTTAACTTTTTTAACTCTTTCTAAATATATTTTATTTTTAAATACTAGTTACCTTTATATATGCATTGAAATGGTTGTTAACCTGGTTTTAAAAGTGGCTGAATTTGGGATTGATAAGGTAAAATTCAAGACATCAAATGTTAAAAAGCATAACAAATCCTTAAGAAAGGCCTAATCTGTCTAAAATATTTAACACATATAAATAAGTTTTAAATTACTTAAGGATATAATTGAACATATCAGCATTTGTTGTCTATATTAGAAGACTGTCTATGATGGGGATTTTGTGGTACCCACCAATATTTTTCAGAGCCTATACAAACAAAATGTGTTTGTTTCTGTGGAAGTTGCCACAGGCCTGTAATCTCAGCAGTTTGGGAGACTGAGGCTTGAGGGCCAAAGGTTTGAGGTCAGCCTGGGCAATCAGCAGCCCCCAGTCTCAACTATGAGAAAGGGCAGAAGCGTACTTCAGCTTTCCTCGGTTTGGTCTCCTGTGCCAAGATGAGTGAATGAGCGATTGACAAATAAAAAAAGAATATTTGTTGATAAAAAGCTTTTGGGAATTTATACAATATATATTACTGGTTAAGAAATAAACTTTTGATCTGTTGCATAATTACCTATCATAAGCAAACTTCCTCTTGTGATAACTTTTAAGTTACTGAGCAATATTTATAGCATTAAATACAATTCTAAATCTCTTACTAACACCAGAGAAAAACTCTTCATAAGTATTGATCCAAAGGACCAACTGAAGAATGTATAACATATATAACTACAAGAGTAAAGAAAAAAATTGAAAAAGGTGCTATAAAAACTATATATTCAATTTTGCTTCAGATTTGTATAATCTTTCTATTTTAATGAGTTAAAGTTATATCTGGCATAAATCCACTCATGATTTAAAGGTTTTTTTTATATACTATGTATTTTACATCATTCTTAATACTTGAACATAAAGCATTTCTGGGGAAACTTTTAAGGAAAAAACTTGTATTTTGTGATAATGGTAAGAGAAATAACTATACCAGATTTTAGTTTTCAGGAACATTATTAAAACATTTTTAAAATTTTGCACTAAGCAAAATTATGATAAATAATCAGATATGCCACTCAAATTGGCCAATTATATGCTTATAAATGTCAAAAACTACTCAAATACTAAGCTTCTTAGAAAATTAAATCACATTTTAAGACAAAAATTACTGGAAAATATTATCAGCACATATTTTCTAATATAATTATGAGAGAAAAATAATTTTTCTCTTCTACTGTTCTTACCTTCAGCTGCACAAACAGTCCATAATAAAAACCAAATAATCTTTGCTGGTAGCCTCATGTTCTGGGTCTTTTAGGCATAAATGTTCTTGCGAGAGAGCTCACACTGTCCAGTTCTCCTCTGATAAAACTTGTGATTACTGTAGTAAAAAATACTTGCTTCTAAAGGAAATTGAAATACCACTTGGGAAATAAGGGATTACGAGATTCTCCTCCCAGCAGCAGCTTTTCCAAAATAAACAGAAAAAGCAAACCATGAGCCCCAACACTGCCAGACTTGATTGAGATTCCTGTGAATGCCAACGCTCTGCCCTGCTCTTAGATTTGTTCTTGCAAACCCAGGAATGTCCTCCTTTGGACAAACTCAAGTTTTGTAGTGTGTGTGGAGCAACAGCTGGCTTTGGCCTCTGGATTTCATAAACCCTCAAATTACTCAAACTATTTAGTCTTATTTTGTGTCTACCACAGAACAGAAACCAAAGGAAGTTCTTTAAAAAGTCATTTATTTACAGAACTGCAGTTTGAGCAATGTTTCCACAACCAACACCCAGACAATGTCAGCAAATTTTGCCAACAACATACCCAGTGCTGGCTAATCGGGGGCCTTGCTTTTCCAGGAAGTCATGAACTGAGCCTTTTCAAAATCATTTATGTATGTGTGGGAAGCAGCAGGCTCAAGAAATTGAAATGCAGACTTCTTAAAATTTGAAAAAAAATGAGCAAATGATTTACTGAACACTGAAGATAAGCCATCCATGCAACCAACATTCGGGTCAAATCCTGGTCAAAGTGAAGTACTCTGTCTCCCAGAAAACTTCAGTTGTACTGCCTTTCAGTCTGCTACCCTTTGTATCCTCCACATAGGCTGACTGCTACACCCATTTCTAAGAACATGAAGTTTGGAGTACTTTATATAAGTGGGAAAAAAGTTATTTATTTTTCTGTTTATGGTCTCCCAGTAAAAATTATGTTTGGGATAGTCTATCATTTGGTTGGATGTATTTAAGGTTTGCTAATTCTTAAATCAATTTAATACTCCAGTTTTGAACATACCACATTTCTATTTATGTAAGTGCTGTTTATGGCTGTTTGGCTAATTTCAATTTGGAGCGAATACAAATATAGTTGCTGTAAACATTAAATTATGTGGGTTTAGATACATATGTGCTCACATTTCTGGTGAATACATACCTAGGAGTGAGATATTAGGACATTCTTTTTGTTTAGGTGCAATAGATAACATCAGTTTTCTTCATGGGTATCCCAATTAATACACCCTTCAACAGTGCACAAGGTGCTCCACATAACAACATTTGGTTATGTTAGTATTTGCAATTTTGAATAGTTTCCATATGCAAATTCATCATCAAAAGTTCTTGGTGGACTGTCTTTTCAGGTATTTTGCATATATTTTCTATGTGTTATCTTTTACTTATTGCCTTGTAGAAATTCTTTACATAATCCAGAGACGAAAACATTCTGGGCATATGTAGTATAAATACTTTCCCTCCTCAGTCTTTGGATTATTTCACTCAGTGTCACGTGGTGTTATGACTTGTATCCAGGTATCCTTCCAGAGCTTCACACAGTTATAGGTGGGGCTTTTCAGAGGTAGCTGATGTAATGGGATCAAGAACTAAGGGTGCAAATGGAAAAGTTTTAAAGGACAGAAAGTGGCTTGCTGCTTGTCACTGGTTGCTTACTGCCTTGCTGCCTTCTGCCGACATAGATTGCTTCTCCTCTGCGGTGCCCCTCTGCCATGCCACCCTGACTTGGAGCCAACGAACTACAGACTGAAAGCTCTACAAAGTGTGAGCTGCAGTCAACATTTTCTCTGCTAACTTTGGGTGTCAAGTATTTTGTCACAGCAAAAAGAAAAGTAACTAAGTCACATGGATCTTAATAAACAAAATTAACTTTAAGATAATGCGAACTTATCTTCTATAATAGGCATGTTTGTGTACTTATGGAAGCCTTACCTAGTCCAGGTCAGTAGGCTTTGTCTCTAAAAGCAGAATATTCTGTTTCACATTGAAGACCTCCAACATGGCTATACTTGACTCTTGCACATGATATTAAAAAGCGCTCCAGCCACATTTCAAAAATATGAACTTCCAATTTTTCTAGCACTGTTTTCTGAAAGTATCATTATTGTCTGCTGCCTTGGCACATTGTTACTTTTGTCACGCTTCAGGAAGCTAGAAATCTATGAGTTCATACCCTTGAGCTTTCCACAGTACATTGGCTATAGTCTCCATCTTTTTATTTTTCTTAATTTTTTCTGAAGTATCTATTGCTGGGTACTTAGTTTCCAGCTATCTTTTAAATTGACTTATTGCTGAGAAATAATGCAATGTATAAAAATACCACATCTTTTTTATCTATTGCTTAGTTGATGGGAAGTTGTGTTGATTCCAAGATTTGGCTATGACAAACTGCAGTGCTACAAATATAGGTGCTTGTGTAAGGCTGTGATAGGTTGTTTTCAGTTCTGGAAAAATACAAAGGAAGGAAATAGCTGGGTTGACTGATACCTCCAATCCTAGATTTTTGAGGAATCTGCATACTGACTTTCATAGAAGAGACAGCTTTGTTTTTGTTTGTTTTGTTTTGTTTTGTTTTGTTTTGTTTTGTTTTGGCAGAACCTGGAATTGAACTCAGACCCTTGTGCTTGCCAGGGAAGCACTTATTCTATTGAGCCATCTCCCCAGACCTGATTTCCATAGAGGTTGTAACAATTTGCACTCCTACCAACAGTAGAGAAGAGTTCCTTTCCCCCCACAGTCCCTCCAATATTTGCTAATGGCTTTCTTTCTTGCTTTTTTTTTCTTGCTTTCTTCTTCTTTTTAAAAATGTATTTAGTGCAGAGTCTACAGGGTCTCACTACACAGATTGGACTTCTAGTGATCCTCCTGTTTTCAGTCTCCCAAGCATTGGGATTACAGGCATGCACTACCACATCTAGTTTCAGTTACTGTATCAACACTCCCCGGGGACAGGGTCGGCATGGCATGCCAAGGATCAAACACCAGTCCCCATGTCTGCTTAGGCAGGCAGTTTAATCTGCTGAGCAATGTGGCCAGCGCTTGGCTGCTTTTTTGATGATACCATTCTTTCTGGGGTGAAATGGAATTTCAGTGTTGTTTTAATTTACATTTCTCAAATAACCAATGATGTCAAACATTTTTCATATATTTATTTGCCATTTGTATTTCTTCATCTGAGAAGCATGTGTTCATCTAAGATGCTCAAGGCTTTTTATAAGTAAATGAATGCAGCTAGAGACCATATTCATAAGTGAAATAAATCAGACATACATATGTAAATATCATATTGTCTCCCTGGTATAAGAACCTGAAAGAGCAAATAAAATCCAAGAACTACAAGAGGTACTGAGAAAGTGAAGGAAAGTGTTCAGAGGGAAGGAACAACTGGGATGAGGGAAAGGAAAAAAGAAAAGAAATAAGGGGGAAAATATATGTACATACAGAGAATAGCATGTATAACTATACTGCTGATTTCTACTGGCCTATTGAACAGTTAATGCTTAAATTATATATTTTTTATAATTTTTGACCAATTTTGCATGCATATATCTTGTATCTGAATGACTAATTTGAATACAACAATATGCAATGTAAATACCATTGCTGAGTTTCTACCGTTTTGTCTAGTGAAATTTGTATCACTTCTAATGTTTTAACATTATTTTTATTCTCCTTAAAAATAAAAAGAAATAAACTGGCTTATTGTTTAATTTTGTTGGGAAGAGAATCATACAGTGTTTTTTTTTTTTTTTTTTTTTTTTTTTTTGCGGAACCAGGGATTGAACTCAGGCTCTTGTGCTTGCCAGGGAAGTGCTTATTCCACTGAGCCATCTCCCTGACCCCTCATACAGTGGTTTTTTGTATGGCTACTTAGAATTATGACCTCCTTTTCTGCATTGTTCATTTTATTGTATGAAATGTCCCTCTTCACCCATTTGCTTTCCTATGTGATTTCATGCATTTTTTTTACTTGCACATTCAGAAACTGGTGAGTTGAAGAATTAGACGTAGTTTTGTATCCTGAGAAAAATATACAAAATGTTCTATGTGGCAAATCAAGCAAACATGGCCTCAGCTATCATTTTGAGGTTAAATTTCATTTTACCTGTAACACATAAGTTGACATATTGTTAAACTCTATTCTTTACTCTTTCCTTACTTTTATCTAATAGTATTTTTGAAGACAGGATCTTCTATATGTACATTCTATACGTAGTTCAGGCTAACCTTGCACTCACCGTATAGCCCAGGCTGGCCTTGAACTCATGGTAATATGCTTGCCTCTGCCTCCTCCTCCTCCTCCTCCTCCTCCTCCTCCTCCTCCTCCTCCTCCTCCTCCTCCTCCTCCTTTTCCTCCTGTTTCTCCTTCTTCTTGTTCTTCTTCTGCTTTTTATTTATTTATTTATTTTTGCAGTACCGGGGATTGAACTCAAGACCCTGTCTACTGGCCTCTGCCTTCTGAGTGCTGGGCTTAAGGCATTCACCGCCACCTCCGGCAGTTCTATCTACATAATGAATCCAAATATTTTCTCTAATTTAGATCTTTAATACTGATTATTTATCTAACAGCAATATTGTAATTAATACTTGAAATATGTTCTCTAATAGTATTAAAATAGTATTATTGAGTGTTAATTTTATATCAAGTGCAGGTCAAGGAACATTTACTTAATATTTATGACAGCATAAGCACACAAAAGCATGTTGATGAATGAACTGAACCACGTAACACTTCAACCACTTCTTCAAGGTCAAAAGACATTGCTAGAGTTAAGTACCAAACCTGATGGTCTAATTGCCCAAATTGTAGTTTTAACTCTGCCTCTCAAATGGTTTGCTACCTCTCTGTTAAATGTGCATAAATTAAATTGTAATGATCCATATAATGAAAATATTTACATTTTTACTTCAATGTGTGCTTCACACTTGTTTTATTACCATATATACATATAGATATAATTTTAAAATGTATAACACACTTATAAATTTGCAGAGTATTTTAAGTTATGCATATTTTAATCTTATTTTCAATTGTTGAAAATAAAATGCAAATCTCTAAAATGCGAATGCAAATCTTCGATGTTCGTGTCACATTTTCGACAAATGGCTACTATATATATGTAGACCATGGGATTGGAAAAAAAAATTAAGATTGAAAAGATACAAATTTATATTAAGGAAAAAGTCCATACTTAGAAGACTATAATTAACAATATGTGTGCTAAGTAACAAATGACGGCTATAATAAAAACTGCAAGAGAAATTACTGAGCACACAGCTCAGTTTGATGATGGTCTCAAGCATACTTGCAGTTTAAAGGAACAGTACACTGCGAAAAGACTGAGCTACAGGGAAGTACAGAG